TTCCTTGTCGCTCCCTCCCATTCACAAGCTCATTCCTACCCTATCCTTTAGCGGCACGTGTTACTGCCGTTATATTCCAGTGGATTAAACCATGGCCATAGAGAGCAGCACACCTGAGTTCACACTCTGTTCATATCACTTAAAAGCGGTATGATTTTCCATATACAAAAACTAATTCAAGGTGATCAAGGACTGAAATGTAAAACCTCAAACCATAAGAATTGTGGAAGAACACCCTGTTGACATCAGAGTAGGCAAAGAATTCATGGCAAAGTTCTCAAAAACAAATGCTCCAAATCTAAAATTGACAGTTGGGACCTTATCAAGCTAAAACAAGCCTTTGCACAGCAAAAAAAAAAAAAAAAAACAAACCCATCAAGAACTGAGTACCACATGTTCTCATTCATAAGTGAACCTTGGACAATTATCTGAGTACTATAAGAAAGGGATTGGCGGGGCTTAGTGGCTCAGCCTGTAATCTCAGCACTTTTACAGGCAAGGTCAGTAGATTACCTGAGCCCGTGGGTTCGAAACCAGCCTGGGCAACTTGGCGAGACCTCGTATCTACAATAAATAAAAAATTAGCTGGGCATGGTAGTGCACGCCTATAGTTCCGGCTCCTTGGAAGGCTGAGGCAGAAGTGTCACTGGGGCCCAGCAGGTTGATGCTAGGGTGGCTGTGAGCATGTCACTGCACTCCAGCCTGAGTGACAGAGTGAGACTCCAACTCAAAAAAAAAGGGATTGGCAGTTGAGGGAAACTGCCAGGGGAGGGAGGGGCACACCTCATCAACAAGGGTAACTGCATAATGAACATTTGTATAACTAACCCTGAATTGTTCCCCACATTTTTTTTTAAAGCAAGATTTATTGAGGATAGAAAAGCTCCCACAGTGGGAGAGGACCCATGGGGGTTGCCCAACCCCACATATTTAAAATAAATAAATGGCCCCTGAGGTCTACTTCTTTGGGAGGAAAAAAATGAGAGAAACCCATAGACTGGGAAAAAGTATTTGCAAACAATGCATGCAACAAACACTGAATACCAGAATCTACAAGCAACTCAAATGAATTGACAGGAAGAAAAACAAATAACACCATTAAAAAGTAAGCAAAAGATATGAACAGACACTTCTCAAAGGAAGACATCCAAGCAGCCAACAAACCTGAAAAAATGCTCAGCTTCACTAATCATCAGAGAAATGCAAATCAAAACTACGAGGTACCAACTCACACCGGTCAGGACGCCTATCATTAAAATATCAAAAAAAAACAAAACCTACAAACAAACAAAAAAAAACACAGGCATTGGCAAGACTGTGGAGAAAAAGGAATGCTGGTACAATTTGGTAGGAAAGTAAGCTAATTCAGTCCTTGTGGAAAACAGTGTGGCATTTTCTCAAATAACTAAAAATTGAGCTACCATACAATCCAGCAATCCCACTTCTGGGAATATACCCAGAGGAACAGAAGTCACTCTATCAAAAAGATACCTGCACATGATTACAGCACTATTCACAGTAGCAAAAAACCAACCCAGATGTCCATCAAAAGTGGACTAGATAAAGAAAATACGGTATACACATGCGGTGGAATACTATGCAGCCATAACAAAAAACAAAATCTGCGGTGGAATACTATGCAGCCATAACAAAGAACAAAATCAAGTCCTTTGCAGCAACATAGGTGCAACTGAGGACCGCCATTCTAAGTGAACTATCACAGAAACAGAAAACTGAATACTCATATTCTCACTCATAAGTAGGCCCTAAGCATTGGGCACATAGGATGCTGGCACTGCTGGTGAGAGGAGGGAGTGGGGGTGAGGGCACAGCCACCCACTGAGTGCCACGTTCATGACCAGGACAGAGAGTCACCAGAGGCCCACACCTCAACCACACACAATTTACTTACATGGCAAATCCTTGCCAGATCCCACAACTCTAAAATAAGAAATTTTAAAAAGGAAATTCATAAACTAAAAAAAAAGCTGTGTGATTTGAGAAGTAAATTAAACACTGAACTGCCATCATCTATAAAATCTAGGTAAAGCCGGGCTCGGTGGCTCAGCCTGTAATCCCGCGCCTTCGGGAGGCTGAGGTGAGTGGATTGCCTGAGTCCGCGGGTTCGAGACCCGCCTGGGCAGGCGAGACCTCATCTCTACAATAAAATCAAAAAATTAGCCGGGCGTGGTAGCACATGCCTGTAATTCCGGCTACTTGGAAGGCTGAGGCGGAAGGATCGCCGGAGCCCAGCAGGTCGAGGCTGTGGTGACCGGGAGCGGCCACTGCACTCCAGTCTGGGTGACAGAGTGAGACTCTGACTCAAAAAAAAAAAAAAAAAAACTAGGTAAAAATAATATCTGCCTTTTAGGGCTGTCATGGGTCTCCGCTTGAAGCGACAGGCATAAAACTGAGCACAGCACCTGACCCATCACGAGCCATTAACACACGGAAACGCTGATGATCGTACTGTTTCCTCAATCTGTAATTCCTTCCCTACTTCCAGCCACATCTCCGAGTACTGATCCTTTCTCAAAGTCCTTCTCAAGTCCCACCTCTTCTCTAAGCCCTCTTCAAATTTTATTCTCACCTTTCCATGCATTTCTTGAGAACATAAAGGCATGCCAGTACTGACTTCTAGTGCAGGACACATCGTGGTCCCTTAGTAGCTTCTTTAATTGATGGATTGATGACAAGAAGGGGAAAGAAACTACAGCAGATGCAGCTAATACCCAGCCCCGCTTCCCCTGGGCCTGCCTGAGTTCGTTACAGCTGTGGTGGGCAGTTTGACCCTGCCCATGGATGGGCGTATTCTGGAAGGTTCCAGCAGGATGGAGCCCAGCCGCCCGCAGCAGGACTCCACTCGTTACAGGCCCTGCATTGGCTTTGCTCCCTTTCCTGCCTCACCTCCTTCCTGCCCACTTAAGCTTCCTGGAATCACCTCCAAATGACAACCAGCGTCCAAGTCCTTGCCCCGGACTTTGCTTTTGGGGAAACCCAAAGAGGACAAAGAACTAGCATTCCCAAGTCTGTACTGTATGCCAAAGCACCATGTTAGACATTCTCTTTTCAGTGTCTTCCTTCACGGTCTCAACATTCTTGTGGGATTGGGTATTATTCTACCCATTTTGTAGTAACAAATCAGAAAGCCAAGACTCAAGATAATTAAGTGACTTGTTCAGGGGTATAGACAATACCAAGTAGCAAACCTAGCGATTCAAATGCTGCTTTGGATGCTTATTTCTGAATTGATAATTGTATAGGAAAGAGAATAAAACATTTTAGGATAAAGCTAAAGAAACATAGTAGGGAAAATGGAGTTAGGTAAAATTAGATCTCTTTCTTAGGTTGAGCCAAAATGTGACAAACCAAGATACAGAAATGGAATATAATAAAATAATGTCTGGGAGCATTGTGCGTTGAATCTTAGATGTCATTTAAATGCCTTATTTATAGTCCACTTTCTTTACTCTGGGAAATAGAGACAGAAAGATACAACAACAAACAGCTACTCAAATGAGTCAGATTTCCTAAGAAGGCATTAGAAGATGAAGCTGATCTGGCCTCTATGACATTGGAAAAAGAATTAGACAAAGGGGACTTTTCTGAGTGCCTAGATACTGAAAAGAAAGGCTTAGATTGATGAGAAAAATTATTGAGAAAAATGTTTCTTCCATATTAAGATTCTAATTCAGAATTGGTTTTTTTTATCTTCCCAAGTCACACCGGCCATATACATAAGGGTGATTGAATTATGACGTTAAATGTCAAACCCAATAAACATGGGAAGGGAGACAGCTCGGAAAATGTGAACAGAAACAAAGGACAAAGATATGTGTTCCATAGACAGAGGCAGGCATTAGGGAAACAATGCATTCGTTGGATTTTTAGATGCTATAAACCGTTCAGCTGGCATCAGGGAGTATGGCCCAATTGAGCTGATGCATGTCACTCAGTGGTGCTATGGTCTCGATGTCAGATCAAGTTTATCCTTTTTTTTTTCTTTGTATTTGTTTTTTAAGTCAGGGTCTCACTCTGTTGGCCAGGCTGGAGGGCAGTGGCACGATCATGGCTCACTGCAGCCTCGACCTCCAAAGCTCAGGTGAACCTTCCACCTCAGCCTCTGGAGTATCTGGGATTAGGGGTGCACTCCATCATGTGCCGCTAATTTTTTTATCTACTTTTTTTGTAGAGACGAGGTCTCACTTTGCTGCCTAGGCTGGTCTTGAACTCCTGGCCTCGAGCAATCCTTCCACCTCAGTCTCCCAAAGTACTGGGTTTATAGGTGTGAGACACTGTGTCCAGCCTTGAGTTTATAATTCTTAAAAAATAAGGATGATGAGTTTGAATGAAGTAGAGCCCGTTGCCCACACAGAAAATTAAGACCTTGGTTTTCATGAAGTTTGAGAACATTTGATATTTCTGTGAAGAGTTGAAATTACCAGACAAAATGCACGGTGACTCTTTCTTATGTATTACCTCCGCTGTGTTTCTGTTGGCCTTTGTAATGTCACACGGAATCATAAAGAACTAGTCAATTTGAACTGGGCATTATAGTTCAATTCCTTTGAACTTTTGAATGTTTTTCACTTCTGTATAACCCAAAAGTATTACATCATAACATTTACTGAAAATTTATCATCTCTGCTATGAAATCATTTAGTTTAGAACCCTAGAGAAAGTGACTTCCAGCCAACTAAGCTTTTACGGTGTGCCCCCTCATTCACATTTTAATAAATGTCATTTTCTAAGTGCATTACATCATGTTTTGGCTACAACCCAGCTGAATTCTGAGAGAAGAGAAATGTGCTTTCTGTCTGATTCATCCATATTTTATTTTACTTTTCATTAAGAAATTACTCTTTGAAGAAAATCAATCGTCTTCTGTGACCGAGAGGAGAGGTTAGTGTGTTGCAGTGGTGCCTTCTAGTATCTCAGATCAGACTGCCTTTAGCCGGCTGTTGCTGACAGAGTGTTTTTGTCCTTCCTTGTTCCTGCAGCCTGGGTACATGGCGACCCCCGGAGAGCGGCCTACCCTACAGACAGCCAGGGCCACTTTTGTGGCCAGAAAGGCACCCCCAACGAGTGAGTATGGCCGCCTTTGCTGTGCATAATTCTACTGTCGAAACTGGAACCTATAAATCACTTTTACGTTAATCCTACTAGACTTCTTAAGAAGATTGAAATTCACAAAGGAGATCTTCCCAGTCCCTTTTCTTACGGATAGCTATAAGCAGTCTAGAGGTTTTGTCCTACATGAATTAAGACACGATGTCATTGTTATGCAGCATTTTATTAGAATGCATGAGCACATTGTGTAGTAAAACTATAATTATAATGAATAGATTGGACCAGTGATTTTATCAGAGGACATATTTTAAAGAGCCTTATAAACATGAGCTGTTAGAAGATTGAGTTGTGAGTAACTGCTGAAAAGCTAGATGGTATAGTTGTTAAAATTATTTTTGTCGCAGTGTCTACTGATCAGTCATTCCAGCTTCCAAAACTAGGGTCACACCCAGAAAGTCTTCAATGTCTGGTAGGCTTTTCAAGGCAGTTTGTCTGCTGTGGACAATGCCCAGAGTAGCTGAAACAAACAAGGATTAACATTCCATCTAATTTCTCTTTAATGTTAATCATAAGAGGGGTTTACATTTCTGAAATCCAATGTTCTTTTTTTCAGGCTAAAAAATACCCCTATAATCTCACATTTTTATAAAATTTTCCTTCATTTCTCACGGGTCCGTTTCTTTTTCTGTGGATACCTGGGGTTGTTGCTAGAACTCCTGGTTCTTCAAAACCAATCCAGTTTCTGTAAAAGCTGGTTTTGGTGGTTACAAAGAAAGAAAGAGAGAGAAAAAAAAAAAGCAACACCAGCTCCGCTCTGCCCATAACAACAAAAACATGGTTACGTTCTCTGTGCTGCCCACTATTAACCATGGTGCTTATGACTCCAAAAGTTGGAGAGATTCAAAGAAAAAAGATTCAGGAAGAGATTTACAAAGTTCATGAAGCAGAATTATCACAGGCAATCAAGAAACCCAGGTATTTCTGCAGTGGGTGGCGCAAATCCTTAATAAAGTCGGGTAAGTTTGTGGAGGACAAGTCGACGAAAGGGTCTTACCGCCCATTAGAGACACTGAACGAGACCACCGATTCAGGACAGTAATTCTTATTTTAACTTCAGAAACTTAGAAAATCCTAGATGTTGCCAGCAAAACCTTCACACTATAAAGGACAAAGGAAGCACCAAGTGGTAAAGGAAGCCATACAGGTCTCTAAATCTCTAGTTCTTTAAAACAGACTATTTTTAAAAGGACTTTGGTAACAATAAGTCTTCCAGGCCTAAGTCAATGACCCACTTATTTCAAGCAAAAGTGAAACACCACAAATTTCGGCTCATCAAGATCACTCAAAGATAATACTAGCTTAACACACACACATTCATTATAGTATTATTTATAATAGCATACTGGAAATTACACAGGTATCCATCAATGTATGGATGATAGATTCGTGGCCTATCAATTTAATGAAATATAATGGAGCCATTGAAAATTATGTTCATATGTTCAGAAGTCAGTTTGGTTGATTTTTCTCTGTGGTTCTGGGTTTTGTGTCATGATGACAATTGCCTTTCTCTCCCTGAAGTAACATTCTCCTATATACTGCTAGTGTTTCTATGGTTTACCTTTTGTATTTCAGTTTTGAATATACTGGAAATTACTTGAGATATGGGCTAAAGTAGAAATCAGACTCTTTTCAGTTGCAGAGCCAATTATTTCAGAATAATTTGTTGAATAATATGTCCTTTCCCCCTCTGACTTCTAACAAAGTTATCAATATAAATGTGTATGTTTCTGTACCTTCTAACCTGTCCCAATGTATATTTTGAGCCTTTAATTCTTATGATAAGCATTTTAATTTTAATAAGAATGTTACTTTAAATTATGCTTAGAGTTTTGGTAGTAAAAAACGTGAAAATAATAAATAATAAAAACGTGAAAAGTAAATAAAATCTTAATATTTTAAAATTTTATAAGTGTGAGTTGAGTTGTACAAAAATGTATCTAGGGAATATATTGGTGCAAATACATCAGAATAGTATTATTATCATTAATTTTAAAGATGTGAGGTATAATGTGGGATTAGGTATACAAGTGGTCATTGTATAGGTAAAGTTTGGGCCTCCCTTTGGTCCCCACTTTGACTGGTTTGAGATTAGGTATCCTGACTGATCCCTCCTGCCCCAGTAGTATCCTGCTCTTGCCGATCCCTTTCTTATAATATTATGGGAAATGTTCAGGGTCCGCTTATGAGTGAGAACACGTGGTATTCAGTTCTTTGTTTCTGTGATAGATCACTGAGTATGATAGACTATAAATCCATCCAAGTTGCTGCAAAGTTCATATGTTTGCCCTTCTTTATGGCTACATAAGATTCCATTGTGTATATGTACCATATTTTTTTTTTATCCAGACCAGTTTTGATGGACAGCACGGTTGGTTCCATGTTTTTGCTATTGTGCATGGTGCTGCAATAAACATGAGTGTGCAGGGGTCTTTTCTGTAGAATGATGTGAGTTCCTCCGGGTATATTCCCAGAAGGGGGACTGTTGGGTCATATGGCATGTCAGTGTTTAGTTCTTTTAGAAATCGCCACACTGTTTTCCAAAGAGGTTGCACTAGTTTGCATTCCCACCAGCAGTGTAGAAGCATTCCCTCTTCTCCACATCCTTACCAGCATCTGTTGTTGTTTGTTTTATCAATGATGGCCATTCTTCCTGGGGTTAGGTGGTAGAATAGTAATATTATTAAAACAGTGTGAAACTATTATCAAACTAGAAGAAAGAAATAAATCCAATTATAAGTGTACATTTTGAATGTGATAAAGATGCAACTTCAAGTCAAGCAGAAAGATTAATTACTTAAAAATGGTGTTGAATTAATTGGTGTGCCATTCATTAAAATTAAAAAGTATATTTATCTTATATCTCGTTATAAAATGAATACTAAAACATTGAAGGTTTTGTATATAAACTATTAAACCGTAAAATAACAGAGCAAAGTACAAGGGTATATTTATAAAATTATGGGGTTAAGAAATCTTTTCTAATATAACACCCAAACCAAAAAACAGAACAAATTGTGAAGAATTTTGCCACATAAAATAAACCCATCTTAACTCACTGGAAACAAAGTTTAAAGTAATTGATTGTCTGAACAAAACAAATATTTTCAACATATATACCTGACAAAATGGATTAATAGCTTTATTATATGAACTGCTCATACTTTTGTATTTCCCCCAAATTTTCCAAAAATAAAGAATATAAAAGAAAAATCCATAAGCTGAGGCTGTAGATGATCTTAATTATTAAAGCCCTTTATTAAAGAAACAGATGAAACAAATATTTTGTCAAAAGAACATATACCTGGGAGTCAGACTTTGATTCCATGGCCCTGCAGCACTAGCCCTTGGATGTGGAACACAGCCTACTCAGCCTTACTTTTTTGGTAATGATGCAAAAATTAAATGAAAGAACAGTAATTTTGGAGGCGTTTGCAATGTCCTCTGCTTATAAAGCACTGCCATATCCCATGCTACGTCATTTGCTGATGTCCAGTGGGCCAGTCACTGTATAATATGCTAGGTATACTCCAGTAGATAACGACATCCGTTTCTTCTTCACGAATCTCTCGGTCTTCAGGGATAGAGTCAAGAAAGCCATGAATTTCAGTCTAGCATGTTCAGTGCGGCATACTATCTTAAAGCAGAAGATAATGCTGTTAGTCTCATCAGAAGCTGCCCGCACACTGGCTCTCACCATTTCTTTCCCTGGTTAGTCTCTGGCCCAAGACCCTGACTTACTGTCTTGGGAACTCATCATTACCTGAATTATCCTGATTATTAATTTATTAATTTTATCTCCCCCTATAGGGCCCAAAGTTCATTGAGATCAGTGACATTCTCTGTCTTTTTCACTGTTACATCCTCAGCGCCTAAAATATTGCCTGACTTAGTAAATCCATTGTTAATGAATGAGAATAAAGGAGTAACAGATAAGAGTGGCTTGCTCCCAAGGTGGAGGTCAGCGTAAAGGTCTTATCAGATTCTCCAAACAGCTTTGCTAAGGAGGTCTTGCTATTGTTATCATCACTGGAAAATTAGAAAACTGAAATTCAGAAAGGTTAAAGTGCTTTTTCTGGTTCAACTGTCTACTAAATGTCAAAGGTAGTATGTTTTAACTCCAAATTGTGTGCTTTGTGGGCTGCACGCTGATCGAGTTGCAGTGAAATTGGTTTTCCAGTTACATGCTAAACCCAGACCTAAAAGTCTTAAATGCAGCTGGTAAAAAGTTATGATTACATGTTTTAACCCCACAAACAAACGTGTGTGTGCATTTCTATGCCCAAATGAAATGCATCTGTGTTAGGATGTGTGAGCAACTTAGGCCGCTCCCAACCAGAGGCGCTTACTTGGTCGATTGTAACAGTTGTATTCGTTAGCGTTAGGATGTACTTAAAACAATCCTCTCATTCCCAACTCTGAAAGACTCTTCTCCTAAGTGAGTTTAAATTCTGTGTTTAGAGGTGGTGTGACAATTTGAGGTGAGGAGTTTGGCCTTTTGTGCTTTGTCTCTGACTAACCAAAAGGACTCTGGGAGAAACAGTGGGGGTTTTCAAAAGTGCCCAAACATGAAACAGACTTCAAAGGACACCGGAGGCTTTGTTGTTGCAACTTTCTTTGCCTCTGGAGTCCCAGGAAAGTTGTTCATGACACTTGGATGCAGACCTTTTCTTTGAGATTGCCACAAAAAAGCGAGAACTTGATTGATTTTTGATGCCACCTTCTGGCTACTACAAAAACTTCAGCTTATAAAGATTGTGCTAAGAAAGCCTTGAGTGTTGTCTGCTGCAGCACTGTTACCAAGACCGAAATATCCCCCCATCTCACGAGGTTCAGATTAGGAAACAAGAAAGATTAAAAGAGCAAAGCTCTTCCGTCTGAGTTTTTAAAAATGGATATATAATATTGGTATATATTCAAGAGGTACGTGTGATATTTTGTTATATGGATAAAAT